ATAAATAATTTAGAATAAAAAAACTAGATTATAATTAATGATTATATGTACCAAGGTCAAATTAAAAATCATATTATTGATATTTATTGAGATTGCTTTCCTATTTAGAGTCAAATCTGAAAAGAACTCAATATTAGCTTCTGGCTTACAGAGTATCTCATTATGCTTTTGTTCACATCTAAGTTTTTTGTTTTTGTGAGCACAAGCCTGATGTGATAACTTCTTGTTTGATTTATTTTCATTTTTCTGTTTTTTAATAGATGGTTGCATTATTTCTAAATTTAAAACTGGTTTTGGTTTATTATGAACAGCCTATTCTAAAATATAGTTGTTAGTAGAATTGCTTTTATAAATTAATACGGCAATAGTATGTACTGTATTTTTTGTAATTCTTTTGTGCTATAATGCTGCAATGCCGCAATGCTATAATGCTGCAATGCTGTATTGCTGCAATGCTATAATGCTGCAATATTATAGTATCGAAATATTTTAATGCAAACTTTAAAATCCTTTCGAGCTTGAAATTATTTTATGTATGTACTAATTAGATCTTTTTTTGCTATTTAATATTTAATGTTTGTAAGTGATATATATATACATATACAAATTGCATGTTACAGCTATGTTGTAAATAAACAGATGGCTAAAAATTAAATATTTATGTATCATTATGCTTATGCATTGCCCAAGTGAAAAAAAACTAAGTGGCATTGCATAACTTATATGATGTTTAATAACACATATTTTCTTAGTTGATAAAAATAAGATATATATTCACATAGAAGATTAGGATTATCCAATAACTATCTTATAACTATTTGGATTATTAAGATAATTCCCTGATCACTATATCAAGATCATGAGAGGATTAATTAATATGTAATACTCTGACTATATGTGAATAAATGGAAACTTCGTTTCTGCTAATTCCCAACAAATCAGGATATTATTATTACTTATTACTAGGAGGATTATTAAGAGGATTATTAGGATGATTATTAGGATGATTATTAAGAGGATTATTAAGAGGATTATTACAGATTACATATTAGGATTAGGATTATTATTGATAATTCATTGGATGGAAGGAAATTTCATTTTATCCGAAATATATAATATGTAATAAACACTTAATTTTAAAATTGATTTAAATTTATTTATTATGACAGAAAAAAATTAATTTGATAATTATTATAATTATTCGATAGCTTATTATGATTAGACTATATATCAGAATAACTCGAATTATTGAATTCTATAAATTATATATTATAGGTTGTTATTACTGTATTAAAAGATGATGACAATTAGATGTGATCATGATAATAGTATAAATGAAATAACTAACAAAGGTTTTATATCAGCTTGGCAGGCAATTATTTTAATATGCACAGCATTTATTTTTATACAGTATATCAGAGTTTTAAAAAATTAAGAATCCATAAGCAAGTCAGTCATTTATTTCATTGTTTAAAAAATATGTATGTAATGATTAGTTATATATGACTGATGCATACATAGCTTCATAATGCAGTCATATTAAAAACTGAAACAAAAGCAAATACGTATAGTATTTTTATTCTTAGTGGATTTTGATAAATTAAAATTTTATATATATTATCAAAAGCCATTCTATGTAGTAACATTTTCTATGCTATTTTTAATATATACGTAGTAAGCTATCAAGGTTGTTGACCTGATTTAGATTAGAACTGAAGTGATTTTATTTAATATTGGTATAAGTAGTGTTCTGCAAAAAAAGAACCAGTTGGACCCAGCATTTTTAATATGTAACTATAAAAGTAGTGTTTTTCGAAAACTTTGAAGGCTTGCTCCTAGTGGTAGGCACATAAAAAATACAAATTGAAGCCTATTTCTGGTGTAAGTTTTCCTACACAATTTTCAGTTAAGTTATCTTTTGTAGAATACTATTTTATGCCAACTAAAAATGCTGTTTTCAACTAGTTCTTTTTTGCAGAACACTAGTTACGTATAAGTGGATTGTTAGCATATCAATATTCTATCAAATTCGATTAATCCAAATAGTTGTATATATTATGATATATACTTTGAGAAATAAACAGTTCAAAAATTAGATAAAAATTTAAGCATCATACTAGTACAACCTATCACTTCACTGACAGTTTAAAGTTGTTAAATAAATAAATCTAGATATGTATGTAAAAATTTTTAGCATAATTAAAATTTTATTCCTTTGTTGAGATTATGTAAGCTTTATTATAATTTACAGTTGTTTTCATAAACTTCTAGACATCTGGTAAAAAATTAACAGAACTAATAATTCCCAATTCAATTTTACTGGTAGTGGTTAATAATGAAAGAAGTAATCCAATGTTTTATCACTTGGCTTCAATGATAGTATAAAAATTTTAAACATGTATATTGTATACAGAAGACATTTAGATATCAATTTATCAATAATTCTTGATTGCAAACTGTGATTAGGTACCAAATCAATATGGTGTTATAGCAGAATATAAAAATTAATGCACAGATTATATTAGATGCCTTACTAGCATTAAAAAAACTTTACTCTAGGTAAATAGTCTGATCTAATTACAATAAAATAAATCTATAAAGTGTATAAGGTTGAATAGTATAGTATTTTGTAGGCTTGGTGAGAAGGCAATGACTTATTTATTGAAAAATACATCAATATTTATTTACCTTTCAAATAATTCTTCAAGTAATCAGTAAGAAGTACAACTTTCTAACTATAACAAATTATACGTATGAATTTCATAATTAAATTTATTTATTATCAATTAGATATTGCAATTAGTAAATTATCTAAACCAAATATATTACCTAAACTGAATATTAATCTTCAAAAGTCCAAATGTTATCAAAAAATTTCTAAAAAAATACCATCTTATGAAGTCTTTAAAGAAGTGTCATCTCAAAAAACCTTTAAAGAAGAATAAACTTTTGAAAGAGTGCTATTTTAGAAAAATTTTAAAGAAATGACATCTCAAGATTTGTATATAGACTTACAGCATGAATTTGAAATTTTCATCCCAGATTTGGAAATCTTGAATAATAAGGCATCATTTCAAGAAACCTTTAAAGGAAAAAGAATTTTTAAAGGATTATGATAAACCAAATTATTTCATGATATAAAAAATGTGGATACACAAGCTATCTAGGATTTCAACTATAATTCGAATCTATATCAAGCATGATGAATAATCTTATGATTGGATATTTATATTTTTTAATAGTTTTTATATTTTAATAAATATAGGTTATCACATTTGTTCATGCAGTGCTGAAACAAGTAATTCCAGAGAATTTTTGGTGTTATAATAATAATCAACAAGTAATATTTAAAGGTAATATATATGTATAAATATTTAAGAATAATTGAAATATTATTCTCATTACTATTATTATTATTATTATTACTATTTTAATATTAGCTGTAGAAATGTTCATCATGCTTAGGTAATATAAAGAACTCTCACTACACTATGTTTTGAATAAATTCAAAGTATACATATAGAGTTTATCTGTTACATATTTTATTATCTACATATATACTACATATATAGTTCTAAATATTATTTATTATTGAATTTAAGATCAAGCAGTACAAGTGGCTTTTTGTAGAAGGTAATAAAAATAACAAAGTTGAAGTTGATAAAAGATCTAAACTATTGTATGAATTTATTTAGTTAATATTTAATTGCTTTGTTATTCTACTGCTTCAAGTAAGAGAATTTAAATTTTTAGTACTTTTCAGATTTAAATTTCTTGTTACTTAATTTATTTTATGATATTCATACTGCTTAGGCTAATTTTTATAATTACTAATGCAATATACAAGAACTACATAGTTTATTACTGTAAAGATATCTGGTTATGGATTGAAAAATATAATTTAGAATCTTTGCTAACAAACACTTTTGAAGAAATATGATGTAGTTTGTCAGAAGGATAGTACAATCCATTTGTTTTATAAATATTATGCTGACTTAATAGATAATATTAGATTAACCAGTTTTGCAATAATTTTTTAATTATTGCACTTACTTTTTAGTTGTCCACATTAATAATATGTATAAATAATACATATAGATGATTTTCCTAATTTTCCAACCTTTGCAAGAGAATTAGCACAAAAGACCAAATTCAGTTTTTATTGATCATATTAAAGAATCATATTTAAATAGAAAGAATATACTTGATCTCTTAGACAAGTATATCAAGTATAATTTAATAAAAGTATAATTCTGAAACTGTTATATTATAGGAGTGTTGTCAAGGAAAATTGCACATTTGACTTTGAATTATATTTTGTGCCAGACATGGTTTATCTAATTTATTAGGGATTATATACATATATAGAAATTTATATATTTTTTGATAATCAGATACATATAACAAATCATATATATATACGTAAAAATTCAAAAAATAAAATACATACATATCTAAAAGTGAGTATTTGTTGGTTGATTATCCAGGTCACACCATGTAGAAGTCAATGCTCAAATGACCCATGTACTACACTTTGGTAGATTTAAAATTAAGGAGAATGTAAAGAGAGGTGTATGTACATATAAAAACTTAGAATATGATCCTCCTTCATTAGAAGAAAATTTATAAAGAACTAATGTCAACATCTTCGATCATTAATGATTGTATTAATGCAAGAACAAATATTGTTTTTATTTAACAAAAAGATCAAATTCCTAGTCCTTCTGGCTGCATGCCTTGCAGCATGTGAGAATGCATCTGTAAAAGGTGCAACCACAATGCTACAGGCAATACATCTATTTTCGCAAGCATATCTTCACACAACAGTCTCATGTATGAAAATGAAAATATTGTCTAAAAAATTTAAATTCATTAATAATAAAAATTTAGATTATTAATATGTATATAAGTACATATTTATTTAAGATTTACAATACATAACATAAAATCAATAATTAAATTACTTATTGAGCCTTGATGTGAATAATTTTTGCATTGAATTATAATAGTGATCCTGGTGATTCGGCATATAATATTTTTACTCTTATTACCAGATCCACTATAAAAAAAAATAATAAATGAATATTTGTATCATTATCATTAACTAACAAAGAAAAAATGCATGACCGGAATTCTCTATAGTCACACTTCAATGTCAGAGTGTATTCTATTCACCAACTTCTCAGCAGAACACTTCTTAATACAGAAAGTACCTCTTTAACACAGAGAGGGCTAATTAAACTACAGGAACATCTATAACTGATAGAAAAGAACATTCAACTATTGAAATAGTCAGTTATGATGAGCTTTCAATTCTCTAACAGATTTCATTACACAAACATGTCAGCATAATTTCAAATACACTATGACTCTGCAAATAATCAATAAGAGAACTCATCCTGTATATATGAATTTCATATCTGCTCCTGTTAAAGCATTGACTCTTTTGAAGCTAATGCATTTTAATTCTTTGAAAATATTCTATTCAAAGATCCTTCCTCTTACAACATTGGAATGATTTACAAAGATGCTAACAACTTCTTTTTTTATATCTGACATATTGGAAAGAATAAGTGCTTTAGAACAAAATCAACTGATTAAAAAGACATTAAGCACATAAAATAGTGATGTGAAAATATTCAGTTCAGCATAATTCAGGTATACGAAAGGTGGATGTGATTTAAAATAACCTTTTAAATACAGTAATCCTAGCATAATAAAGAATACTGAGAATTAAGGCTGATTTATAAATAAACAAAGTAATACATAGGCTTTTATTTGTATGTATTCAAATATTGTTATATAAAAGAATCAAGACTTCAGACTAGTGCTCTGATCAGGTTAACCCAAATGACCTGAAACCAACCCAGTTATAATAAATTTACTATATGGGTTATAACTCATCTAACAAATTTATTATAACCAAGTTGGTTTCAGGTTATTTGGGTCAGCCTGATCAGAGCACTACTTCAGATTTTTGAAACTTAGAAGTAAATAAATTTAGACTTAAAATTCAAAGTCTTAAATCTTGTTACATAGTATATACGTACATAATGACAATTAAATTTCAAGATCAGTCTGATCTTAAAATTTGATTGGCCAAATCATAAAATATTTTATGGGATTAAATATTTACTTACATATGTTCTCGAGCACTTAAATATGTATACATTCAGAACAAACATTTTTTGTTCTGTTTTAGTCTTAACTTTAATGCTATTATTTCATTACTTTAAAACTATTAGTAATTTTATTTTAAAATTGATAGGTCTTATAAATCCTTTTTGCAGTTCTATTAAAATCTATTGCAGATATGTAAAATCTGACGTAGAGGCAATTAGAACAAATAATTAAATCTTGATCTGTTACCCAAATGATCTAAACATAACTAAGGATAAGAAAAGGCATTTTTAGTAGTATATATTACAATTTGCTTAAGGTGGTAATATTGGATTCTGATACGTATTTACAGTAAAAATAATTCTGAGAATAGAGAGATAATTCAGAAGTTAGCACAGAGTGCACTTTTGGTTTTATAGGCTAAAGTAATTCAGCAATTGGCAAGGTAATTCACATCTTGGCTAATAAGTATTAAGATTTTTTAAAACTTTGAAAATAGCGATTCAAACAACAATACTTACAATTGGTTTTTTAACATTTTTCTGAATACGCATAGGTTATTCGACTAAGTTTTTACAAGCTATGTACAATATTTATGAATTTAATATATATATAGCTTATTTTTAAATATATGTACGTATTCTATATATATTAATAACAATTTTTATACTTACGTATTTAAAATACATAAATTAATGCAAATAAAAAAGTTAAATATATAAGTATTTTAGCAGCCGAAATTAGTTTTATGTAGTGTCAAAATTACAGCTATCATTATTATTTCTAGGACACCTTGTGAAAAGCTAATTGAATAGCTATTCTGCTAATTCAATAAGTTATTTGATTTCAGTAACGTTTATTATTTACAAAGATGATCTAAAGCCAGATATGTACGTAGATGCTACATATGTACATATGTAATTGATTTGTAAGGATTCTATTTATGGTGTTGCAATGACAATTATTAATCGATAATGATCAGATAACCAATGTCGATATCAAAAAAATTTAAAAGTTATAAATTTGAACAGCTGCTAAACACTTAGATGTTAGCAGATCTTCAATAAGTCAAGTTTCCAACCAATTTCAAAAATATGGGTGTGTTGAAAAACTTACACCACTTGTAAGAAATCATGTCTATTAAACCTGAATGATATAAAATATCTTAAGACTTTAATGAAAGAAAAGCCTAAAAGATATTTGTGTATGAGTTACAATTAGAAATAGAACTTTAGTGAAAGTAGAGATCATTTGAATTGTAGTTTCATGTGAGTTTTAATTTACAAATTGATTACACCTTTGTACATACATATCAGGCTTTAGACTATCTTTGTAAATAATAAATATTACATTGATCATGTCGAAATCAATAATTTATCGAACTGACAAAATAATCATTCAGTTAATTTTTCATAAAGTATCCTAGGAATAATGATAACAGTTGTAAATTTTATACATATTTGCTGAAATTATTGCCAAAATTTGTTGAACTCTTTTTATCAAGATATATCATATAAGTGCTGTCAAGAGAAAACCTGTTGAGCTTTTAATTATAGTTATTTCAGAAAGTTTCATATAAAAATTTAGCAATGTTAAAATGTTTGCTGAAAATACTTTTTTTTCAAAAATAATTTTGAAACACATATATAAATAGATGTTCTTTAAACTTATCTAAATTGATGCTTCCAAAACCCAAGTTAGCAAGGTGTTCTTACAAAATATATCTGCTAAAACTTTTCTATAATCTGATTGTCATTAAGATTTCTAGATGTTTATGAAGTATTATTGTGAAGTATCTCTGCTAATGATTTTCCTCCTACCCAAGATTATTACTTTGAGGATTATTGCAAGATGCTTATACTATGTAATATGTTTTTACCTTTTGAATTTAAGATCCAAGAAAATTAGCAAGGTGTTCTTGTAAGTGTTACTAATGCTTTTCCATCATCATATCTAAGTTTAATACATATTATTATACATATATATATGTATACAAGTTCTGAAACAGGCTTGCTTATATGCTTCTCCTTCAATATACTGTATATGATAAAGTGCCAATATGTATGTAGATGTCTATTGCTATCAGATTTTGGTTCCAAAAGGTCAATCAGGTGTCAATATATATGTATATAGGCATCAATCAGAAATAATGCTAATTGATGCAACAGAAGAAACTGTCAATGTTACATATATATTAATCCTTCACAGATGTAGATAATCAACAATAAAATTATTTTTATAAATATAATCCCTCATTTCATTATTCTATATATATATATAAAATTATTTTTATGTAACTTCAAGTATGAGGATATAATCTCTCACTTGCTGTAATATTAACAGTTCTTCTTGTTGATTGATGCTTATGTGATTGATGCACATATTTCTTATATAAATTACTCAAGTTTGTATAAGAAGTGCTTCTTCTGAATATGAATACATACAAAATAAAATTTTTAATTATATTATATAGTTAAAAATTTTATTATATATGTACTCATAACACAAGAAGAAGCACCCCTTATACAAATTTGGGTTGTCTCTAATATACTTTTAACATATTCAACAAGGCAGGGAAGCTGTTAAAATTCAGAAAATACTTTTGTAGTAAAACTTGTATATAAAAGACTTCAAACTCCATCAGATTAGATTTTACGTATTTAACTTTTTTACATAGTATATCTTAATAAAACCTGCAATTTAAATAACCAAGATAAATAAAAATGCCAAAACAAAACAAATATACAAGACATTGCCAAAAAATTGCTATCATAAATCAAAATAATAAATCATCTTTGCAACATGTTGAATTGACTAATGTTTTTTATCTAAAAATAATCAACTTACAGTATTGAAACCTATTTATTCATCTAATAAGATCATTTATCTATCTAATAAGACTATTTATCCATCTAATAAGGCCATTTGTCTATCTAATAAGGCCTTTCATAATAGTGCTAATGATGATAATTCTATATCATTACTAAATGCACTATTAAAAACAGAACTTGGTGATTTTTTATACCTTTATACAATAAGACAATATTTTTATTTTGTTCAAAATCGCATTTTACTAAAATGTATACAAGTAAATTTCTAGCAAAAAGCTTTAGTAAAGGTCTATGATTTGCATGCCTTATTTATACCTGGGCAAACTAATGGAAAGCTAATGAAAAGTTAATAATTTCAAAGCATAGCAAGCATGCAAAAATAAAATCTCTTATATATAATAAAAAATTCCAATTATACATTGAACAGTATTTGGAAAAAAATAAGTTTAACTTAACTATTTCAGATTTTATAAGTTATATAAAAAATGTTGCTATTCCTGCTTTTGGAATTACAGGAATAACAACTATTAGTAGATCAACTGCATGTAGATGGTTAAACTTACTTGAATGGAAACATTAAGGCCATTTAAAGACTATTTATTTTGACAGTTATGAATGTGAAGATGTGATTGAATATAGAAACTACTTTTTGCAAAAGATGAATGAATTATGACTCTGAATGACTACTTATGAAAGCAACAATTTAGAACATGCTATTTTGCCAAACCTTTCTCATGGTGTTCATGAAATAGTTTGCATTACTTATGATGAAACTTTATTTTATACTAATGATGGTATGCATAAGGTTTGAGGTCCAATAGATGAATGCATGCTTTGTAAAAAATCACAAGAACTTAGTATTTATGTTAGTGATTTTATTTGTGAATCAATTGGATGTCTCAAACTTTCAGAGCATGATCATCATATAAACAGTCTACTTCCTGATGATTCATGTCTTAAACTTAAACATACTAAAGCTTGTATTACTATATATCCAGGTTCAAATCAGGATGGTTAGTGGATATGTAATGATCTCATTAATCAGATAACTAAATGTGTTATACTAATATTTGAATGAACACACTCTAATAAAATAGCACTGTTTATGTTTGATAATAGCAGTAATCATAGTGCATTTGCTAATAATGCACTGTTGGTTTTACGAATAAATATAAAAGATGGTACTAAAATGCCACTTCTTCATAATGGTATCAAGCTGGATGGTTCTATACATATTATGACATATATAGATAATGAGAGTGTATTAAGACCTAAAGGAATTCAATAAGTACTTAAAGAATGTGATTTATGAATACAAGGTCTTATAAAACGGTATAATGCATGTAAAAAAAATAAGTCTGACTCTAAAAATCCAAAATGTTATGCTATATATATTCTTTCTGCTCAATCTGATTTTGCATCACAAAAACCACACATACAAGAGATAATTGAAGCAGCTGGTTATATGTGTATCTTTTACCTTAAGTTTCATTATAAACTTAATTATATTGAATTTTTTTGGGCTGAAGCAAAATGTAATGCATGACTTAGTTGTAATTATACCTTTAAAGATCTTAAGAAAGCTGTTTCAAAAGCATTAGACTCTGTTAATTTAATAAAAATTCATTGTTTTGCTCATCATTCTGAATGCTTTATGAGTGTCTATAAACTTGAACTTTCCAGAAAGGCTGCTGCTTTTGCAGTAAAGAAATATTATTCTCATTGTTGAGTTTTAGAAAAAGTTTTTGAAGGGTTTGCACATGACTAAGTTAATTATTTAATCATAATAATAGAGTCAGAGAGGATATAGAATCATAAATTTTTACATATTAGTCTTAGCATTAGTAAATTAAATCTATAAATTACCTTATAGTATATAGTAATTATTATGTATTGATATATCAAATAAAAAATACTTGCTGCTAAGGGTAATTGTTAAGTTTTTTTTCAGGCTCATAGGTATATATTACAAACATGAAGTACATCAAATTCTTTTAGAAGATCTGCTATATAGATAATCTCTACATATGTATTTACATTTAAACATGCATTACATATGTATATGTATAATACTTATATATTGTGAGCCTAATTTTTGAGGTCACAAGTACCCAATTTAAGGTTATAATAAACATTTTATTTATATTTGTAATTAATTTCTTTCATAATGCAATACATTTCTTATACTTATTCTATATCTTAACTAAATCTAATAAAAGGTTGATATTCTATTTAATGAATATATGACTAAAGTATATACATAGCAGAAATACATAACATAAGTAATATAACATTTCGTTACTTTTTATATAAATAAAATGCATTTTTACCTTGGGAAAAGAATATGTATTATCCCTTATAATAAAAAATTCTCTAATAACAATAAATATCTGATCTATATTAAAGTACAAGTACTACAAAAAAACTATTTTATATTATTAATCTCACTACTATATAATATGATCATTTGCCCATATATCACTAAACTCACTATGAGTTATGTAATAAGACTATTAATAGAAGAACTCTGATTCGATGTAGTGTTGAGACATACAAGAGAAGACAAGAATTAAAATAAGAATATGTTAAAGGAAGAACTTAAGCACTCCATTAACCACCTTACTTTTTTGCAATAAACAGAAATGTTTGTATACATATTAATTGTATATGTACTACTAGACTTCTTGATCAAGACATAACTAAGTAATTAATAATATCTAATAAAAAACAAAAAAAAAAAATTTGACTAAAAATTTGAAAATTTTTGATTACTTCAAACACAGCTACAGATGTAGTGTATACTCTAACTGCTAAACAAACTTGTAAAGCTTAGTATATATAAATTTATACAAACTTTATAGACACATCCTGTGCCTCTACTATGTCATATGCAGTCACATAGCCATAGTCTATATGAACTTATATAACCTCAAATCACATCCTATGCCTCTGACTGCAAAACTAGTTTGTAAAGCTCAGTATATGAAATTCATACAAACTTTATAAACACATCCTGTGCCTCTATTATGCTATACATATTCATATAGCCATAGTTTATATGAATTTATATAACTTCAAACCACAACATATGCCTCTATGCAAGTGTAAAAAGCAATGAACTAAATTTAAAAACTCTAACAAGTAAAGAAATAAATAACTTACATAATACTAAAAAATAGTTTTTGATCATAAAAAAAAAAAATTCAATTTCTTGGTTTCAATAAAAATAAAGAAAATCCGCAACAGTTTGATTTATCATGCTATTGACAAATTTTTCTTTTTTCAGTCAATTACACGAAATACATGTAATGTAACAAAAATTAATAAGAATGTCCCAAATAAAGGGTATGTATGTTTAAAGCCATGTGCGGTAATATGTTTTTGATTTTTAAATTAAAGTTAGGGTAAGGATTAGTGTAGGATAAGGGTTAGTGTAGGGTTAGGGTTAGGGTAAGGGCGGGTTTTATATGTAGTAAAATTTCCTTCCTATTAATGCCTCAAGATAGGTTACAATAGGTACTTATTTCTTGTATTTTTGACATTTTTCACCTTTTTTTCTTTGTTAGACTGATCTGTGTCGATCAAAATAACCAATTTTATTGGCTATATGTCAAATGATTGCACATGGCTTTAGATGACCCCTCAATTAGGGCTCATCACTTTCTGTGACAACAGACCCCAAATTCTGCATGCACTACCTAACCATTTATGCGAAATTATATGATAAATTTTTTAAATTATGCAAAAAATTATGCGAATCAAGTAGAAATATGTGATCATGTCACAAATATGCAACAAATTTATTTTATTGTTATTTCACTTAATAACCATATAATTTAAAATAAAAAAACAAAATTATATAATTTTTCTTTTTTTTTTAAACAAAAAAAAATTTATCGAATTCTAGTTTAAAAAAAATTTTATCTAATTTAAAATAAATAAAAAAAGAAAAAAATTATATATAAATTTTTTTTTTTAAGTTTATATTTGACTATATTTCTAGCAGATTCTTATTTTTGCCTGTCAATTCTTGAACTATTCTTCCATATGGCCATTAAAGTACATAAAATTTAATGCTGCAATAGATGTTTCAGAAAGTGAATGTCGATTATTATCAAGGATATTTTTATATGCAGAAAAGCTTTGTTTAACATCTACATCTAACACCGGTAACCAAATATAATCTAGGGCTAATTTTGATAAGTTGTGTAAGCTTCGAATTTTTTCCCTCCAGTAAACATCTAAATTAAAATTTTCAGTATTAGAAAAGTCTTTATTTAATCTACAGTAAATGCCCTACTCTTAAAAAATTTGATTGCTTGGTGATTTAAATTCTTGAATTTCTAAATACAAATGATTATTTTAACGATGTTGTTGGAGATGTATAAATCATAGATCGAAACATTGAATGGCTTTAAATAATGACAATGCAAGATGTTGATCTATATGTTTTTTAAGCTTGTTAAATGCTAATTGATACACTTCATGAAATATGGTAATATAAGCATCTATTTTGAAATGATTATCTTCAAATTTGTGTTTAATTTCTTTACTAATAGGAGGTTCAATAATTCCTGATTGTAACAAGACTTCAAGATGTGTTAAACATTGTGTTACAAATGGAGCAACAGGTTTTTTTCTAATTTGAAAGAATTCAAGATCTTCTACAAGACTAAAACTGAATGAGATTAAATTAATTTACCTAAAAAAAAAAAACAATAACGATAATACTTACTGTACTGCATTAAATGATATAAATATAGCTAGAACTTTAAAAATAAAAATATTTGTATTACTTTTAAAAATATCTGCAATTTTTGAATTGCTTAACTTTCATTATTAATTCATTCTTCCTCAAGGTAAAACAAACGTAATTGGTTAATATTTTTATTAATCCAAAAAATAAACCGAAACCATGAGTTTCATTTTGTTTTAACAGGTAATGGCAGTAAAGTAATTTGGTTATTAGTACTATTATTATTGTCTAATAATAAATTAGAATTAAAATTGGATTCTAAAAACCCAATCCAATGTCTTTTACATGTTGGATATTGAACAAACATTGCCTTAATATTTTTAGCAATATTAGCTAAAAATTAAAAATTTTTATAATGAACCCAGGTTTTACCAACTAAATTTAAAATATAGGCCAAGTAACAGTTATGTTTTAATTGTGGAACTAAGAGTGATATAATTTGAAAAGCCTTTAGCATGTATGCCACATTATCAAAAATAAAAAAAATAAGATTATTGAATGGAATACTATAAAATTGTAAAGTTTTAAAAACCAATTGCACAATAGAAGTACTATCTACAATGGTAATAAATTCTGTTTTAGCAAGTTTGGTTTGATTATTAAAACTAAATAATATATGAATAACAGCTCTACTACATGCATCCATAGTTTCATCTACGGTAATAGAAATTCGCTAGTCTTTTACAAGATTTTGTAATCTTAAAACTTCAATATCAAATATTTTTGGCAAATATTTAATATGAAGTTGATTTGAACATACAATGGCACCACCTAAATAAATTAATATTTTATTATTTTTTAAATAAAATACAGTATATTAAATGAAATAATTTACAGTTTTTACAGTATTCTAAAAAAAGCTTTTAAGATTATCGATTTTGTATAAAGGAATGTCAGCTTTAATAAATGCATTTACTAAAGCAATATTAATAAATTCCTGTTCATTTATATTAATATTGGCTGTATCAAGAGTTGTTTGATGAGTTGATTTTAATTTTTCAGTTTTATTAATATTATTTCTATGTTTTTCTGATTTTAAATGAGAGTTTACTGTAGATTTTCTTGTATGATCTACAATGTGTTGACAAAATTCACAAAATAAATTTTGATCATCAACATAAAAAATTTTTTATATTCTAAATTTTTGACTCTACATTCAATAGCAAAAACCATCATTAGAATTTATAGAATAAAGAAAAAAAGAAGTATAATATTGTAATCAAATTTGACAATTGATGATATAGGTTTGAAGAGAATTTGTCTTTATTAAAAGTGTTACAGACAGAATTATGCATGACATTAAGAATCAAATAAAAAGGGAACTTGAATAACAATAAAATGATAATTCGCCAGAGGCATGACTTAGTGATTTGGCAAAAGTATTTTGGAACTTTACAGTTATAGTTTTTTATTTATTGAAATGTTTATTTAACCAAAGGTTATTAGTTTTCTACAACAGTGAAAAAGTAGTGTTTTTATAGTTTTTATACTTCTAAGAAGCATAAGAGGCTTTTAATTATTGAATTTTTTCAATTTACAGCCAAACTCATTGAAATTTTCAAATTTGAACTGGATGAAGAGGCTTTTAACATTAAAATAATACTATTATATTATAAGAGAAGAGGCTTTTTCCTAAACATAAGCTTTGCTTTATGACTTGGTTTAAAAGAAAGTTACAGCCACTAAATATTACATTTATTCTTAATTCTTTCTTTAAATTCTTCATTTACATGTACTAGTTCTTCAGATGTTTACGACTATGCATTAGTTTATTAAGGCTGTTTATCATGATTCAGCCAACATGCCTCACATTATAACTGAATATCCAAAGCCTCAATCATAGTGGCGTCTTTATTCATGATAATTATTATGTAGTTATACGAATTTTTCAGAAAATTTATCGAACTAGCCTGTGATAGAAGATAAGTGTAAAAGATATTAAAATCTGTCTCTACAAAATCTTTTTACATGCCTTCTTATACAAATTATAGTTACTGACACTAACACTCTATTCTCTAGATTTTTACTATGAAACTATTTATCATTAGACTTAATCTGCACTTGGTACTAATACTAACATAACGATCCTATGCATAACTGCATAACAATCTTATGTATAACAATTCTGTCATAACGATGATACTATAGTAAAAAGATATAGGTAGATGCAATAGTGTAACAATAATATAATAATGATAACAGATAAATAATAAAGAGACTAATAAAATAAATAATAAAATAAAAAAAATATGCAGGTCATAGTTCTTTTCCTATAATTGTAAGGCGAAAGGTCCGTTGGCATTATATGATTTTGTATTGCATAATGTTATTTTAGAGCCATATTTTACAATATTATTAATTATTTTTAATTTTTAGTTAGTTGTTTTAAAATGTGTTAACTATCGTTACGTACATATTATAAGTGAAAACTCTAGAATTTTGCGCAGATTATGCACTATTAATTATACAAGATTACTCTTAATATGCAAATTTTGCAATCGCATATGCTATGCAATAAATATCAAGTTTATGCACAGATTTTGCAATCGCAAATATGCACTAGCCCTACCCTCAATCAAGAAATTTAGAAGTTCACATATGTACTCGTGTTTTTTTTTGATGTATTCGAAAAACAAGGTTATATCTCCACTTTATATGAATTTCTTACTATGTATGCATTGCGGCAACCAAACAAGCTTACTAAAAACCTCTCTTATACATAAATGATACCAAATGGTCCTTTCCATCTTACTTGTTAGGAGTGTTTCGGAAAAGAATATACAGAAGTATGCTTTAGCTACTAAATTTGCTAAGTGAAGATAGTTTGTTAAAAAACTAATCTAAAAT